AAAACTGAACTATTTACATATTTATGGTAAAACTACTGAGACTATCTGTCGCTGTACGTAAAACTGAACTATTTACATATTTATGGTAAAACTACTGAGACTATCTATCGCTGTACGTAAAACTGAACTAGTTACATATTTATGGTAAAACTACTGAGGCTATTTATCGCTGAATATAAAACTGAACTATTTACATATTTATGGTAAAACTACTGAGACTATCTGTCGCTGTACGTAAAACTGAACTATTTACATATTTATGGTAAAACTACTGAGACTATCTATTGCTGTACGTAAAAATGAACTAGTTGCATATTTATGGTAAAACTACTGAGACTATCTATCGCTGTACGTAAAACTGAACCATTTATATATTAATGGTAAAAACTACTGAGACTATTTATCGCTGTACGTAAAACTGAACTATTTATATATTAATGGTAAAACTACTGAGACTATTTATCGCTGTACGTAAAAATGAACTATTTATAAGAAGAAATGCAGCCTACTCACCATGGGCGCCCAGAGAAATATTTTCAAAGGGACAAAACATGTACGTAGGGATCAGCTTTAACAGTGTACGTTAACAGACTAAATGAATATGTGTTATGTGTGCTTAAACGCAAACACAATTTTATAGTTTTAATAAAAATTACTAAAAATTTACGTGCAATTTTTTTGTGAAATATAAGGGGGACAAATGCATTATGTTGCCCCTTCGTGCGGGCGCTCATGCTTACCGCTTACCATCCACACTGAAAAATTGATTGCCATTCTTATAACACACTCACAGTTTTAAAGTGCAGGAAATATTTTGTGATATCGCTCGGATTCGAACCCGGCTCGTTAACTTGGAGATCAAGAGCCCTAGCATTAAGTCAAACCTCGTCCCGAAAAAAGAAGAAAATAAAACGCTATATAAGCCCTGTAATATGGCATAAATTAAAAAGAAATTTTTTTTAAGGTTTGTATTTTTTTCTTTACATTTAATTTTGTAGTTGTATTAGTAATATTAGTAACTAGCGGCATATCTAAAAGGCGTTGAAACAAGAATTGTTTTGTGTTATATAAAATAGGTCATTATTGCACGAATCTTTCGTTGAGAAGTAGCGATGGAATTAAGGCCCGCCAGTACTCGGTGTAATTGTGTTACGTAAGTTACTCTAAGTGGACGTTTCCTTCTGCTCGATTACTGGTATGTCCTGTTTTTCTGTTAGTTGTTAAAGACCGACTAACAATAAGGAAACCTTTTAATAAGGTTACAGTAAGTTGCGAAAATTTTAGAGATATATTGACTTTTCATTTGTTTCTTATAAATATTTTTCAGTACATTTTTTTTCTCTCAGCTAACCCCCTATGGTTCAGCGGTAATTGTGGAGGTTCATAACGCTAAATTTCGGGCTTCGATACCCACGGTTGGAAAAGCATAGATAGCCTAATATGTCTAACGACAAACAAAACTTCTATGCTATTAAAGGCGTACGCTTCTAACAAAAGTGAGGGATTCTTACCAACTTTACTATATGTGTGTATGATGTCATTGAATTAAAATTCAAATGTTTCAAAATCTACAATACATAGGATGCTTCTGGAATAGTTACTTTTAACGTTCTTACCGCCTATAAAAAGTAAAGTTGAAGTTAATCCACTGTAAACCATGAACTGCCTGCCTGAAGTATTACATTAGAATGTTCAATCGGGGCAACAGGATGAGGGCCAATGGGTCAGAGTCCATGAATCAAATAGGGTTGTAGTTTGGCTTCCCTTGTGAATTTCGATAATGTTTTAACTATTTTCACAGCCGCGAGATGTAGTTTGATTGAATATCTAATAAATAGTGCTATTACACTCAGCTAAATTATTCTGGTTGTATTGGGTTCTATTACACTCAGCTAAACTATTCTGGTTGTATTGGGTTCTATTACACTCAGCTAAACTATTCTGGTTGTATTGGGTTCTATTACACTCAGCTAAACTATTCTTGTTGTATTGGGTTCTATTACACTCAGCTAAACTATTCTGGTTGTATTGGGTTCTATTACACCCAGCTAAACTATTCTGGTTGTATTCGGTTCTATTGCACTCAGCTAAATTATTCTAAATCTATCAACCACGACTGACATCACTGGCCAGTATTTACATTTTTTGTGTGTTTCAAGTAACAATGAAGAACCTGCCTTCATTGTTCATATTCTATGTGTATTTGAAATGATGATGGATAATTTACCTTTATGAACAATGACCAGTGACGGCAGACATGCA